TTTACAACAATAAGCAACAAAAACAGTCATCCAAGTAAATCCAGGTGTTTTGGAATAAGAAACTTCCGCCTTACACTGCTAATAGCAATAAGCAACAAAAACAGTCATCCAAGTAAATCCAGGTGTTTTGGAATAAGAAACTTCCGCCTTACACTGCTAATAACCAGTTAGACTCTTCGCATTTAACTTTTTTAAGTTCACTTGACGAACTATTTCGAAGATCAAAAGTCAAAACTGAAAGATACAGTTGGCAATCTTCTCGACGTCAAGAACAGCTATCTTGTCAAACAAGGCTAAGATCTGAATAGCACTGAGTGTATACAATACATTGGGGTCATGTCCTATATTCCCGCCAAAACCACCTGCATGAATGAAGCCATAAAAAGTGTAAAAACCAAATTTACCAGAAGCGCACTACCTTAATCAGCAGCTTGGCTAGCATTTTAATGAAAAATTGCTGGCGAAGTTAAATAATACACAGATGAAGGAAGATTAAGTCACTTATGTAAACTCATTCACTACCGAGTACCCGTTAATACTCATTTTTATATACTATTAAACATATAATCTACATTTTTAATATCATAAATTTCAACATAGGGGTACAAACCAGATTCGTGCTGGCACTGCATGACCCATGAAACGACTTCATCTTGATCAACCGCATCAAGCTTTCCTAAAATATCAAGAGTTGTCAAACCCCAGTAAGCGCCATTCATTCGCAGGTGCTCCATCACCACTGATTCAAAATCATCCTTTCTCTGAGGAGAATAAGTACCGAATAGTATTAAGTGAATAACGGACCATATCATCCGGAAATAATAGACACAATAACGTTGGCACATCCTTGAGGTTGAGGGTAGATACATTGATCGGCATTAAACAAGCAAGTATTTGACCTTACTGCGGATAATGCTGAAACTAGACGACGTGCTTTCTCGGGTGATGAAATGAGTATAAGGGTATTATTCTCGTAACTGAAATAATTTCACCACTCGATCGGAATTAAACAAGCAAGCATTTAACCGGCACAACAATGAAGCTTAATATACAAAGGCAATGCTAAACTTGAACAAATTATAAGGAATCAAACATATAAGTGATTATTCGAATTTAAGCATATCTATATACATATAAAAAGGTTTGGCATTTACATGAAATAGTAACTGAATTCCCGCCTAAATAATTTGTTTTTACTTATATTAGTAACTTTTTTAAATATTTTTTGAAAATGGCGGTAAATAATTTAAAATTCAAATTAAATAAATCAATTTAATTAAGGTAAATAATCATTCTGCTAAATATGACACATTACCATTGAAATGAGCAAATATTTTAGGTAACTAATTATTTTATTAAGATCTTTATATAAATGTTACATATAAAAGATCTCATATTCCCCTCTTTCACCTCACCCTCCGTCAAAATTTTCTCCGCCGCTGTCGCCGCTCCTCCAAATTCCGAACCCTTCGCATTAAACCCGCTACTGACTCGACACATCCTTGAAATCGGCACGTCCTCTTCCGCCGACGCCAAACTTTTACTCCCCATGCCTGGAAGAATTGATGCCGGGTCCCGAGCGGGAGGATAGAGATTCAGAGAAAAAGAAGAGGATTTGCGATTTCGAAAATGAAGAAGGCGGTGGATACATAAGCTGAAGAAAAGACAAACGAAAAAAAAAAAAAAATGTTGTAAATAATAAGGAAAAAAAAGTAGCGTACAAAAGAATAAAGCCTGAAGGTGACATGAGGAAGAGCTTGATCAAATGGGACCATAATCTAAAAAAAATTTGCAGTAGTTTTTTTTCTTGCTGTGATGCATATCTTTTTTTATTTTTATTTTTTACTTTGAGGAGGTGAGTTTTTGTTTTTGTTTTTATTTTTATTTAATTTTATTTATATATATTTTGTTTTTGTACACTGCTCAGCTTGAAGTGGAAAACTATAATATTTTTTAATTATGAGTTGTATTTATAAAATTCTTACATATGGCAAATCAATCTTTGTCACTTTTTTTACTTTTGTTTTATTTCTTTAGTTTTTTGGTTTTACAACTCAATTATTTTTGCACTTTATAGCAATTTACATCATTCTTAAAAAAATGTTGGGGACACACGAATAAAATTTAGGGTTATTCTTGGTAAATTGAATTGATAGTATCATAGTAGTAAGTTAGTTGATAGCTTTAGTGGATTTCAACTTTATAGTTATATATTATATAGTTGAAAATTGAGACATTAGCTGATATAATATGTCAAATAAGTTGATAAATCAATTATAAATTAATAATTTCATTGAACTTTTTTGAAAAACTAGAAGTTTATGAGATAAGTCTTAAAAAAAAAAATATTTGGTCACATCGAGGTTATCTTACTAGCGCATAACGCGTGTGATGCACGGAGAAACAATATTAATTATAATATTAAATGGAATATACGTTAACACATAACACGTACAAAATAATCGAACACAAATTTGAGGTTGAATACAAGAATTACTTGAAAATCCTATTTCAAGATGAGGATTTATGACAGGTCCTCCCAATTATTTCAAAGGGGAGTTGTCAGGATATTGTGAATGCTGCAATTAATTTATCCGAGGTACGGTCTGATTGTACTGTGTTGAGACTTACAGAAAATATGGGCTTTCAGAGCATTGGTGATTCAGATGAATGTAATGAGCTAACAAATTTTGCTAATTAGATAGCGAGCATGGAAGATGGAACCATTGGGAGATCCAATGATGGATGTGACTTGACAGACATATCTGATAATATATTGTCGAAGACTACTAATGATCTTATCACTGCAATTGTTGAGAGCACTCATCCAATATTTAAAGATACAAGCGACGATCTTGGTTATTTGAAGGATAGAGCTATACTAGCTCAAACGTTAGAGGTGGTCGAGTCTACGAATGAGTACATGGCGTCTTTGAAACGTGATTTATGGTCAAACATACTTGAGCTCTTATAGTACGTACAAATTTGATTCCAATAATGATATTTTTGTCCGATCTCCACACCCCCGAGTTTTTTAATATTATCAGATGTTCTGGAGTGCCGAACCATGAGTTGAATCTGAAGATAGGAATCACACTCATGTTGCAGAACATCGACCATTCTATGATGTTGTGCAATGGTACGAGATTGATTATCACAAAGATCTTCACTCATATACTTGAATATATGGTATTTGCATGATCTAATGCAGGAGAGAAGGTGTTGATCTCTCGGATGACACATTCATACGTTAGAGCACCTTTTAATTTCTGCAGAGGCAATTTCTCCTAATGGCTTTTATGCCACGACGATCAACAAGAGCAAGAGTAAGTCTTTATCACATCTTCACATGTTTTTTAAGAAGTCGGTGTTCAGTCACGACCAGTTTTATGTAGTTGTTTCTCGTGTCACCAACCGAAAGAGGTTGAAAATATTAGCTTGCGGGAGAACTGTGTGCCTACAAGGCAAAAAATATCGTCTACAATAAGGTTTTTAATAATATAATATCATTTTTATTCTGTTTATTTAATTTTTTATTCACAAATATAGTAATAAGGTTGGGTAAATAGCCTTAGAACTGTCCACCCCGTGCATCGCACGGGATTCGTACTAGTTTATACAAAGAAGCCACATGAAAAATACGTTATTTCTAGTCCCATCTGAAAAGAGAGTAAAAAAAAAAACTATATGAACACAAAAAACGAATACTGGCTTACCTTTTCAACTGATAGAATGTATTTAGCATGCAATTCAGCCTTCAGCTCAGCCATTCTTCATTAATCAACAAACCAAACTACAATAAGAAAGAAACGCGAATTGGAAGAACTC